GCAGAAATGAGGGCGAGGTAGCACGGGAAGGAGGGCTCAGAGGAGCAGAAATGGGGCCGGGAGAGAAGGGGTGCGGCGTTCCCCGGGCATCTCCAGTCTAAGCCGGGCTGTGCAGCTAGAGCCCTCCTGCAGCCCAGCGCTTGGGGGATCAAGCTGTATCGATGTAGCCGGAAAACTGTGCGAGAGTCTCGATTCCTTAGCCCGCTCCTGAGCCGGGCTAGGCACATGGGCCGTGTCCAGACTCAGGGTTTTTTTCGGGAAAAGTAGCCTTTTTCCGAAAAAACTTCACCTGCGTCTAGACTGCAGCCGCGTTCTTTCGAAATTAAATCGAAAGACCGCGGCTTTTCTTTCGATGGCGGTAAACCTCATTTCACGAGGAAGAACGCCTTCTTTCGAAAGTGCTTCTTTCGAAAGAAGGCGTTCTTGAATGTAAATAGGGCTTCTTCGAAAGAGAGCATCCAGACTCACTGGGTGCTTTCTTTCAAAAAAGCGGCTTGCTCTTTCGAAAGTTCCGCGTGCAGTCTAGACGCTCTCTTTCGAAAGTATCTTTCGAAAGAGCCTCTTTCGAAAGAGGCTTGCAGTCTAGACATAGCCATGGAGACGTGCTTGAGGTGGATGAAAGAGTTTGCCTCCTGTGGCAAGGCAGGGTGGGGAGAGACTGACGGTCGGGTCAGGCAGAAGGATGAAAGTGGATGCGGGGAGCGTTCCTGGACTAAAACATGAAGTTCCCCCAAGAGTCTCTGTACCACCTGGCCCACATCTGTGTCGGGCAGCAATAAGAGTTTAGTGAATCCGCGTAAACTCACCTTTCCCTGCTGATAGCTCTAGCCACATGATGTACCTGTGCCCTCCATGAAGTCTAGAGGGCTTTTCTGGGGAAAGGGGGGGGGGGATTTTTCTTCAGAAATATTCATTTAGTTTGCATAAATAAATGTCTTTGGTTTGAATTTTATAATGAGGTAATATATTTTATTGCCCCAACTTCTACGGATGAAAGCTCTCCTTCAGCTCCAAAGCTTGTCTCTGTCACCAACAGAAGTTGGGCCAATAAAAGATGTTACCTTACCCATCTTGTCTCTAATACCCTAGGACCAACAAGTCTATTACAAGCCTGTAATCTTTATCATGGCTTTCTGGAAAACTATGTTCTGCTCACAGGAGAATGAATATATTTCAATAGCTTGAATTAGCACAGGGAGAGCCCTAGTAAGTCCTGTAATTGTTTGCCCAAGGCTTTCTGTTTAGCATACCTATTTTAAGTTGTCAAACCATAGCCAGTTGGGCTGAAACTTTCCATGCATGCTCTCTGCCTCTAGCTACAGTTTTCTGGAAATTTTCAGTTAAAGCCATTCAAGTGATTCTGAGAATTAAATTAGAGGAAAATGGTTGTTTTGCCAAAACAAAAATAAATGTTTCTCTAGCCTTCACTGCAGGAGTGGGGAAACCTTTTTTGGGGTGGGAATCACTGACCCACAGAAAAATCAGTTGAAGGCCACACACAAGTGAGAAAAAAAATAAAATCCTCACTGACATGGCCCCTGACTGAGGAGAAAGACACTTCCCACATTCCCCTTGTACACCAGAGCCTAGTGTGGCCCAGGCTAGTAGATTTTGTGTGCTCCAGTCCCTGAGGCTGCCCAATGCTGGAGGGGAGCCCTGAGCTTCATGGGCTTGATCAAGGCAAGCCAGGACCGCATCAGACCCCCAGGTCTTAGGTTCTCCATCCATGCCTTACAGCATATTGGGGTATTGCTTGCTGCCTGAGAACACTACTCACTGGGGCTATGTCTAGACTGCAAGCCTCTTTCGAAAGAGAGCCTCTTTCGAAAGAGAGCATCTAGACTGCACGTTGAACTTTCAAAAAAGCGGCTTGCTTTTTCGAAAGAAACCATCCAGTGAGTCTGGATGCTCTCTTTCGAAGAAGCCCTATTTACATTGAAGAACACCTTCTTTCGAAAGAGGAACTTTCAAAAGAAGGCGTTCTTCCTCGTGAAATGAGGTTTACCGCCATCGAAAGAAAAGCCGCGTTCTTTCGATTTAATTTTGAAAGAACGCGGCTTGAGTCTGGACGCAGGGGAAGTTTTTTCGGAAAAAGGCTACTTTTCCCGAAAAAACCCCTGAGTCTGGACACAGCCTATAGGAGAAGAGGAAGGACAAGTGAGAGAAGCCATTTCTAGAGATTTTCTTTTTTTCCATCTGAAATCTAATTAGCTGGAAAAGAGCTAAGGACAGGAAAGCACAAGCAATTTTGGACAGAGTTTAAAGTCAACCATAAAAGATTGTTACCCCCATATGAAGTTAAGGAAAGATGAAGCATAGTAGTTTCTGACAGATCTCCACCAGCTATTAGAATGTGCTACAGATGATCCAGGGGATAAGGAAAGGCTATGGAAGAAAATGTCCCACTTACCAGAATTAACCAGGATGATGAGATAACCTGAGAAAAAATTTTGACAGAGTTCATTCTCAGCTCTCAGAAATTGCTACCCATATGTCAAGATGATGACAACAGTTGAAGTAAGCAAATTCTGAAAGCCTCTTCATCACCACCTAGAATGTAGTACTTGTGATCCAGGGAGGAGATGGAAGCATGTTTTCTTATGATAGAAAAAGTAAGTTTTTCCCATGTTGTTACAGTTAGCAAATTATGGCAATAAAGGTGATTCTGACTATGCTAGCTAGTCACATATGTCTACACTGCATGACTATTTCGGGACACTGGAGGTATCCTGAAATAGCTACCCCACATCCACACAAGCCACCTCTTTATTTTGAAATAAACCTTGTTGCGCGAGGGATAAGGGATGACTCAAAATAGCGTGTTATTGTGAAATTTGGCACTGTGTAGACGTGACAAATTTCAAAATAAATCTATTTCAAAATAAATTTGAAATAAGATACGCAATCTGCATAATGCAAATTGCGTATCTTATTTTGAGTTTAGGGTGCTGTGTTGATGCACCACTTGGAGCTCTCCAGCTACAGAACAAATGAGTGGTAGTGACTGAAGTTACAAGTAGGCAGGAAAGAACAACTCCCCCTTCCCATAGCTTTCAATAGCAAAACTAGGGTAGATTTTGCCTCTCTCTTGCCTTTCTGTTATTCAGTGTTATTACCCAAAGCCCTTTTTAAATTAATGTAAAACCATGCCTATAGTACAAGGCTGCATCTAGACTGGTAAGTTTTTCCACAAAAGCAACTGCTTTTCCGCAAAATTTCTGCAAGAATACTGACGATCACATGTAAGATTGTCAATGTTCTTGCGGAAATGCTATGCTGCTCCCATTCGGGCAAAAGCCCTCTTGCACAGATGCTTTTGTGCAAGAGGGCCAGTGTAGACAATGTGGTATTGTTTTGCGCAAAAAAGCCCCGATTGCGAAAATGGCGATCGGGGCTTTCTTGTGGAAAATCATGCCAGTCTAGACGTAGCCCAAATGTTGAATCCTAATCTGATTATAAACACAGAATATACACTGAGCTGTGCCTGCACTGAGATACCCTTCCTACCTTCATTACTGGGACACACAGTCTTTATTTACATTGTATGTACATCATTTATTTTTCATTCACCAAACAAGCAGAAAGAAATCTTTAAAACATACTGAAATACACAAAATCCCTGATTGTTTTTACCACAGAACAGCTGCCACAGAGGGAGTCGGCAAATTTCATTCCCATGGACCATTTTATAAAATTAGAATTAAGAAAACAGTTTGAGAGATTATACTTTTACCACTGTGCTGACCTTTCAGTTTGCTCATTTTTTCTCTTTTCATTTGAGATTACTGTATCATTTTAGAAAGTTAATGGGGAGCATAGAAGGTCCTGAGTAGTTTCAAGGATTATTGTTTCATAACACCTGAAACTGTCAATGTTTCTGTTCTCTTTTGAGTGTAGGTCACAAAGGGATTTAGCGTGAAGAAGAATGTGGCCAAGATTTTCTAAAGTGTTTATTATTACTAGGTGCTTCACTTTCCGGTGCACCATTTGAGCTGTTCAGCACATTGGGTCTTCAACACATGGTGAAATTCAGGAACTTGTAAGGCATCTCAGTTTGGGAATGAAAAATTGAGGCACTTAATATCACTGGTCACTTTTGAAAATCTTGGGCATCTATAGCTCATATATCACTGTAGAACACTGCATAATAATAGCCTTTTGGCAGCTTGAATCAGAATTTCCTGAAATAACATCTTTACAGTGATGAATATGCCAGCATCAATCAGAGCCATGCAAATAAAATAAACAATATTAGAATTAAACCCAGTTAGGTTACTATTAAACTATTAAGGTTGCCAATAAAAAGGTTAATATAAATGAAAATTCTCCTGCTATCTAACTCTGTTCATCTTATTGTAATTTGGGTTTCCAAAGCATATAGGGTCAAATTCTCCATTAACATCTGTGTGCCAAGTCACATACAGGTTAATATAACCAGGCGCACTCAGATCCCACTGAGATTATTTTGTAGGATCAGAATATGACTAGAACAAGACATATTTAATGTTATTGATATTGGGCTTGATTGGAGCACATTTATGCATTTCCAGTTGGGTCTAACCCTGCAAATAGTTCCATTAAATTAAATGGGACTTCTTATGGCAGAAGGTTCTATTCAGCTTGAGTAAGGCTGTAGCAATTTGGCCTATATAGTTATTATTTATTTTGGCTTCATAGGACATGTACAGTTCCACTCCCACATGCTTAATCATTCAGAGAAAAGTGTTATCTTTAGTTATTCCTTCAAATTAATGTTTATACTTAAACTAAATCAAGGAGATTAAATTTAAGTTGTTATACACTTATTT